AGCATGGACTTTGACACTATGCATATCTGACTGTAAAACCTCGGTTGCTGCTGAAAAATGTTGATTTTAGCAATAGACAAAGGTTGAAAGTCAGCTAGTAAAATCATTTATTTATGATATATAATTATGTATTAAAGTTAGAGCGTCGAACGCACTCTCATAATCTCTGATTACTACTAGTTAATAGCTACTGAAGATCCCTGAAGTGTTTGAAAAATGTATTCTTAAAAATCTTTGGGTTTGAAGTCACCAAAATGCAATTATTGCTTCATTTCCCATTCTCTAGATACACTTTGCCCCCTTAAAATTTGATGGTCATGTCACTGGCCACTGTCCCCTGAAATCAAAGCACAGCCGCGGATCCACCATTTTACAGAAATCGGTCAGATTTTTCAGAAGTACTCAGAAACCTCAGTCACCATTTATCTGAGATCCACACCTGAAGTGCCCCTGCTTAAGTCACCAAAATCATTAGGAACAATAAAAAATTATTATATTATCAAATTTATCATAGCCTATGTTTACTCTATCTAGCCATTAAAACTAAAGTAAAATCATTAAGGTTCCAAGTATTGATATTAATCCCGGCCACTTTTATATGGCCTTCACGAAAGAGCCTGTGAAGTAAGTAAACCTAGTAAGATAATAAGTAGAAATGAGTATAAGTAGAAATGCTTTCCAGAAATCATAACCCTGAAAATAGACAAAAAGACTTCTTTCTTCACTTTTCGCATAATCATCACAAGTTGATGTTTGCTCTGAAGACAGAATTAAGTTATTGGTTCATTGAAACCATCAGGCAATAGATTTCCTTTTCACGAACTGATGAAGATGATATATGGTATCAGATTTCAGGTTTGAAAACTTTCCACGGTGATCCGCTGCAATAGTCTAGGGCACTGGCCTCTTTTAAGTTTTAGAACCTTAGACCTTAGCTGCTTTGCTTACAATTTAGAAAGCCTTGGTGTGAGAAAGAAAAAAACAGATACTTTCCTAGTCCCTCTTTCGGTGTGGCATCATGTACATAGGATGATATAAGCACCCGAACATGAATCAAAGACGTAGGGAAATGTCTTTTCATGCCTTGGCAAACATGCTTCCTTTAATTTTTATCTGTTTCAATCCATGTTACGCATTTTTAAAAGATTTTGTAATTTTTTACCCTTTGAATTTTTTCCCATTACTTGTTACTTTGTTACTCTATTTAGTAACACCAGTTTTAACAATATTGCCTGATTGATTTTACCAGGTATGTATTGTTGTGTGACATTAAAACATCTGGCACGATAGCCCTGCTGTGACTCATGATCGAGTTCTAGCAATAGCATACATTTCAGCTCAAGATAAAGAAGCTTTGCACATCCAGTGGGAAAACCCACCCCTTAATCAGCAACTCTAAACACGTAAATTTAAGCTTATCTTTTTTGTAATCTGTACCCTTTTGTCAATTATATTATACAGACTTGTTAGCATGACCTACTAGTTCAATTTCCTTCAATTTTTTCACTTCAATTTGCATCTTCTGAATTATTTGCAATGAAGAAGGCAGAAGTTTCTGGCAGAACATGTTTGTAAAATTTAATTTGTCATTTTATATTCTGAAACTTATAGTGATAGTTCTTCTTGATCAACAGGCACCAACAGTTAAAGAATTAAAATGCCAGTTGCAGAAAGTGGACAGAGAACTTTTCCTGGTGCAGGAACTAAACCAGGAGTGGAAATTTGGAGAATTGAGGTAGACAACTGCAAGTTTGTTTGTAACATGAGTGGGAATGATTTTTGACTGGAAACCTGTTATATGTGGTTTTTTACAGTCCTTGACTAAAACACTATTATCGCTATCTCACCCATTTAGAGCAATATTCCTAATCTTCAGAACTCTTCATGTACAAGTGGTGAGAATAAGAGTGGACATGTACATCAGCATAATTTATACTGTAAGCACATTTAGCAGACGCATCTTCATTTCATTTTTCCCCTAACTCTTGTGCCTGTGAGCCAGCAGCAAAGCAAACTACATATGTAAGTCACTCAAGATCTGAAAAGACCATCAAAAATTTTAACGTGCAATAAAATTATTTTTTTTTTGTGATGGATAAGAACTTTTCTTGTCACCAAAATGTTGTAAATTGCAGAGGCTTATGATTGGGCTTATGATTGAGCTACTTTTTCCTCTAATCCGATAAGTCTCCTTCGTTTTATTCTGCATCTGAGATGGCTGTGGTAAAGTTAAGCGTGCTTGCTTAAAATACACCTGCATAATGTCGGGTACCAGAAAATTATTGCCAATGCCAATAATAATAATGCAGCTATTTGAAGAGTTCCTGCAATTGCTTGATCTAGTGAGGTCAACCCACAGTGTTATAGAGTGCTTATTAATATTAAAGTATAAATCATAAATTTCTTAATAAAATTAATGGTAGTAGTCAAAACAATAAATTGAGTTGATTTTCAAAAATTATTTTGCAGTTTTTTAAGCCTGTTAAAGTTGACCCTAAGCAACATGGAAAATTTTACAAGGGCGATTCCTACATCATACTAGAGGTAAAATGTAAAATCATGAAGTACTGGGTTTAACATTGATACCTACATCTAAATACTTGTGTTTTAATTAATGTCTTGGAAGTACTTACCCTTCTTGCTTTTTTTTTGGGGNAGGCAAGTGGAGAAAGAGATTGTGATATGTAAGTATTATTGCCTGGATGTAGAATGGGGGGTTTGTGGCTTGTTTGGTAGAATTTATACTGTGGCATGGATGAAGGAGATGAGAACTGTTAAAATCTTCTTAAGAAAATGGTTAAGCGTCAATTTATGCCTTTGCTATAATCACCTTGCTCCAGGTGACAGAAGCAAGATATGATGCAATCCTTGACCAATGACAGTGTAACAAAATCTTTATTTATACTCACCTGCCATAAGCAATTATGCTAATTGAAGGGGTGCATGGAAGAAAGCCCCAAGTGACTCTTGATCTTATGTCAAATTTTCCTTTTCTGTACAAGGAAGTGAAAAGCAATTTGTTGGGAGAATCTTGCAGTCTATCAGATGTCACTTAGGGTCTTTTTCCATGCACCCCTGTAATTATTGTGAGTGTGGACTCCCTCTATCTAGCTCAGGAGCTGCTATTAGGTTACATCTCTCCTCCATCTGGATTTGAAATCCTTTCGTGTTGCAGTTTTGGAAGGTCTGCACTTAGCTACAAGAATTTCGTGATCAGTTCACCGAATTTTGTTTGCAGTCATTTTGATTGCCTCCATGTTGCTGTTAAAACACCTTGTCGCGTGTCAAAATTTGACCTGACAGTTAGGGGCTATATAGAAGTTGTTTAAGAAGCTTTTAAATTTAGTACTTGACCTGTTCAGTTCTTAACAAATGTACATGTTTTTCTTCTTTTCTCTTTAAGACAAGAACTGTTGGAAAGATGGCAAACATATATTTTTGGCTTGGGCCAGAAACCTCTCAGGTGAGAAAAAATCAGTCAAATGTATCAAGTATAAACAGAGAAACAATAGCTCAAAGAAGTTGCTAAGGTTTACTGGAATTGGGATTACCCAATAATATTTTTGGAGAACTCATCACCTTTTTTGTTCTTGCCATGGTTAAAACAACTTGCAACCAGGTTTTGAAAACCAAGCAAATTGGAATGGTCACTTGTTCCCCTTGTTACAACTGTACTTTCGTCCTCACGGCCAAAATAATTAGCTTTTCATTGTGTCTTTTGGAGGCACAGTGGCCTCATGGTTAGTGCCCTTGTCTCTCTATTAAGCGGTCCAGGTTCAAGCCCTGGCTGGGAACTTTGTGTTGTGTTCTTGGGCAAGACACTTAACTTTCACAGTACCTCTCTCCACCCAGGCGTATAAATGGGTACCACTGAATTTAATGCTGGGTGTAACCCTGCAATGGACTAGCATCCCATCCAGGGGGAAGTAGAAATACTCCTAGACACTTCATGCTACAGAAACCAGGATAAGCACCGGCCTGCTGGGCTGCATGGCCTGTATGCAGACTTAGCTTGATTGAATGGCTAGTAACGCTTTTTGCTATGCTTTTCTGTTTTGTTACAAAGGACGAACAGGGAGCTGCTGCCAGCCTGTCTGTGATCCTTGATGATGAAATGGGTGGTTATCCTGTACAGCATCGTGTGGTTTGTAAAAGATTTGATTGATTTCCTTTTGAGCTTTCTACTCTATAGAATGAAATTCTTAATCTTATTTCTTTTCAAATTTCTTTATCCCAGGTTGGTGGTTATGAAGATAAAGGGTTCCGAAACCTTTTTCCAAACATAAGGTAGGAAGAGTTTTTAATAAATTAAATTAATTTACTATGCCACAAAATGGGGTATGAGGCTGTGGCACTTCCTGATGAACCCAGCCTATTTTACCATTCTACATGTACACTCCAGCCACCCTCTGTGTATTGTTCCAACATCTGATCTTCATCTGCTTTGGAGCTACTACAGGTCCTATCAACCCTTCTCACAGGCTTTGAACTGCAATGTTCATTTTAAACCTACCAGGATTTTTCCCATCTTGCGTAGTGCTTTTAGTTTCGATTCAAGTAGGATTACAAGTAGGGGTTTCATAATTAAGGGCTAGGCACTGGGCAAATTGACAGGCCATAAGGAAGATTTTGCCCACCTGGTTTGACCATCAAGAGAAAAGTTTTTCTCATAAAAGAGTTCACTTCAAAAACTTTTGCCTGCCTGTGAAAACTAGTTTCTCCTGCTGAAAACATTAATAAAACCCCTGTGGACACACTGCTGATCAATACGAAGACTAGCATCCTTAACCTTAATGAGGGATAGCCACAACAACTCTATATTACCTGTAGTCTAGTTCACTTGGACCCAGATGACATTATTTTTCTTTCCAAATGTAGCTTGCTCGATGGTGGCCATGCTTCGGGTTTCAAGAAAGGGAAGAAAGAGTTTGTAAAGGCATTGATACGTGTGAAAGGGAAACGTAAAGTTTATGCTTCTCAGGTGAGCTGACAATGATTTTTTTATAAACTTCTTTGCATGCATTGGAGACCTATCATACTAAAAAGTCTGCCTCGCCAAAAAAAAAAAACCCACACTCAACCAAAATAATTGGCCTATTTTGTTGATGTCAGGCAGCATCAACAATTTTTCATACTTTTCTTATAACCATATATTAATCAAAATCCACCCCCATAGATACATTTATCATGCCAAATTTAGTAGATTTGTGCAGTTTCATAGAGAAGCTGCTACAAACTCATGAAAATATGGGACCCCAAACTTGGCAATTTTTACAAAGGAAGATATGCCAGGGAGCAGGCATTGCCCCTGGCAGATATTCATTTCTTTGACTTGTAAATATTGGCAGGTTTAGATGCCATATTTTCATTGAGTTTGTAACAAATTCTTGTTCAACTTTGCACATTTGCTAAATTCTGCATGATAAATTGCATGGTGAGGCTTAGTTTTTGTTTGAATAAAAATTTTGAAATTATGGCTGAATTATGGTTAGCCTGCGAGCAGGCCTACCTTTGAGCCACATGTGGAAGTGGCAAAGAGCGAAGCAATCTGGTGGGGTGGAGTCTGGTGAAGAGGCGATGAGAAAGTGCCTTTCTTGTCTTGCAGCTTTGCTGCCTGCTTCCACCACTTGATTCTGTGACTCCAACATGAGCCTGCCTGTAGCCTAACTTATGGTGGGAGGTCTAATAAAGCAAAAAAAAAAAAAAAAAAATTAATGGACAGTATAAAGTTGACTGCTAGCTGGAATGGCTATGATTGTTCTATCATGAGACAAGTGCTCTTTAGCAATACTCCCAACTTGCTGTTCACTAGCAGTGCCTCAATAGGCCAATTTCAACATGTTAAAATTCTAACTAACAAAAGAAATCAATTATTCATCCCTTAACCTGGATGTGATTTCTTTTGCTCTATTCTCGCAAGCCTCGGAGCCAAGTTAGTAAGTGGCCTAGTAATTAATTTTGAATTCATTTCTTCAGGTGCCTCTTACTGTTGATTCTCTTAACAATGGAGACTGCTTTGTTTTTGACTGTGGAAGAAAGATTTTTGTGTGGCTTGGCAAGGAGAGCAATGCGAACGAGAGGTTTAATGTAAGCTTATTGATTGTTAAGTTTTTTTGGTGGGTTTTGCTGTGAAGTAAACACAATACTCTTGATGTTTTTACAAGAATTCTAAAAAATTCTGGTAATAGCCTGCCTAGCTGGCAAGATTTTGCGTGCAAAGGCTTTCATTTTGGTGGTGAAGCTGTACTGTATGCTAGTGCAGCTGTGAGGGAATTGGTGAGGAGTGGTTTAGTTGCAAATTTCCTTGCAGTCTTTGCTTGCAAGAGAATGCAATGGCGGCTCTGCATCCACCAGAAATTACTCACTCATGAATTCCACCAGCTGTACAGGCTATTCTGTTTTATAGTGTGATACACAAAAAAACATGTTATTTTGAAATATGTAATATTTAATTAATATGTCTTATGTAGTTGTCATATGTAACTCCCCTACAGTAGGGATTTTTCTTAAGACCCCCACTCTTCTAGAAATTCCTAGATGAAGTTTCATACACTTTAAATGTTTTGTGTGTTACAGAGTGTGCATTTTCAGAAAATATCAATACCCACCCCAAGGAAGGTTATTGGAAATTCTGAAAGCGAGGGGGGTTTCAAAAGCCAAAATTTTTAAAAGAAATTATGAAGCCAAACTGGAATTTCTGGACGAGTGGGAGGGTTCTAACCAAAAAACCTTCCGTGGGAGGGGTATGGATATTTTCTGGAACAACACTCCAACCCAGGAAATTTTAAATTTTAATCCCTTCTGTACAGGGAGTATGGATATCTCTCTTTATAAAACAGTACCAGTAACTTTTATTGATATATGATAAGTTTACATGCCTTAGTAGCTCGCAGCGTGATGAGATGGCCAATGTGTCAGCCACTTAGGTTTGACCTTCAATTAGTACTAGCATTACTATTCGTGAATGGAACCATTTATTTTTTTCACAAACCAGTAATTACAATAAATAGTTTTTCCATCAAGCATGTTATAAGTATTTTTATATATGACAGGCTATAAAATATGGGCGAGGATTACGAGATGAGGAGCGAGCTGGTTTGGCTACTGTAATTGTAATCGGTAAGTGTCTTAGTTTTCAACTTTGACATCAGCAGTGTTGACATTTAAGAACGTTTGTCAGGTATATTGTTATTGTGAAGGGGATTGGTGGATCACTGTTGTTTGCGGAGCTGAATTTAAGTTCAAGAAGAATGAGCAGACTGTGGAATCCTGATTTTTGGAACCTCCAGTGGAAACACAAAAATTGGTTCATGCAGGGTTCCAGATAAGTTTTCATGGTTGGGTGTCAACAAGGAATTTGAGCGGGTCAATTTCTGCTACTCCCACCAGATCAGTATTAATAAATTTTCTATTTATTTGTCCGTTCATGTAGTTGACCTCGTAGGGTTTTTGACCTGAGACCCCAACTTATCTGGAACATGGGGTTTGAAAAATCATGTAGTTGGAGAAATCGGGGATAAGTTTCTGCAATGCTCATTTTTAGCCTTGGCATAAATTATACTTATGTCGCTATAGACTTAACCCAGGCAAATAACTGATGAGAAGGTTGAGCCTTGTGTCCCCAATGTGTTGGTGTATTTTTACTGTTGTTAGAGTAATAATTATTATTCCCTGGAGGACTTCCATATAAAAAAGGGTGAGGGTGCTTGTCAGAAATTTTAAAAAGAAACCCTAACAGGTACTAAGATCCTGTTTTGTGGGCATGGCTTGAAAGTTTTTTTTCACCCCTAAGAGGTACCAATTCTGGAACAACACATGATCTCCTGTGATATTCTTTTCACTCAATGCCGTAAAAGGTACCGCAAAAGCTCCCATTGTGGACCTTTTGAGGCTTAACATTGTAAGAGGTACCAAAACCGTGTTTTTAACCCCTAAAAGGTACGACAAGCACCCACCTTCCTTTTTATATGGGAGTTCCCCCCCCGTACTTCCATTTTGCTGACGATTTCTAACATGTTATTTCAAACGCAGGAACGCCAGAAGAAGAGGAAGAGTTCTTTCTTGAACTGACTGGAAACAAACGTATTGTTCCTATTACTAAGGAAGGGGAAAGCGATGAAGCTCATGATGAAATCCTAACTCTCAATTTATACAGGTACAATACATGGATGCAATATTTATGGCATGTTTGAGAAATGGCAAACATTTTCTGTGTCTCTTTTGAGTTTTGTCTAAATCTACTAGAGTTCTATCACGGATGCCGTTCCTTGATTGGCTTCACTACCCATTATCTATTCTGTTGTAGATCTAGACTAATGAGTAGCGTAGCAGTGTGGGCTTGTTAAGAAAATGGCAGCCACTTCATAGCGTTTTCGAAGTGTCTGTGAAGAGGATTAAATATAGTTTTGAATATCTAGTAGATTTGTACTAAAACAATTAGCTTATTTGCTCTCAATTTCTATGTGTTATATAGAAGACTTGGGCTGTGCCCTTGTCAACCATCACAGAATAGAAATCTCGAGCTCAAACTCTACAATAATAGAAACATACAAGGAAATCTGGGAGAACAAGAGGATGGGGGGGTTTGGTACATATGAAAAACACCTTTATTTTAGCTTTAAGTATCATCACTCATGACAAGGTATACAAACTGAATGGTTGATTTAATCTTTGTGATTTCAGGGTCCAAGAGGATTCCAGTGGAAATATCACGATGAAAGAGACTGGCAGCAAACCTCTGAAACAAGAAGATCTAGACCCTGATGTTAGTCTCGTTCCCATGTTACAATGTCTAAATAATTGCAATTTATGTGGCAATTTATAAGGCAATTTAATTTCATCAATATTTACAAATATTTAAGTCTCTTAAGTCTGCATACAAGCCAAGTGGCTAATCAGGCTGGAGCTTATCTAGTTGCTGGTGTTTAAACAGAACTTTTTGTATTTATGGCAGGACGCTTTTATTCTGGAGACTGGTCAGGGCATTTATGTGTGGGAAGGAAAGAAATCAACTCGGAATGAAAAAAATCAAGCCTTCAAGGATGCCCAAGTTAGTGACATTTTAATTATTGTCATTTTATTCATGTCAACTCTCCTGGACTATCTGAGAGTCTTCTGAAATCAGCAAATATGAATAAATATCATGTCTCCCATATCCAGGTGAGGGAACTCCCATACAAAAGGGAAGAGGGGTGCTTGTCGTACCTTTTAGGGGTTGAAAATATGGTTTTGGTTTTTCTTAGGTTGTTCAGTGTCAAAAGGCCCACAGCGGGAGCTTTTAGGGTATTGAGCACAAGCATAAGCACTACAAAAAGAAACATTTTCCTTTTTCTTGTACTTGTACTTATTTTACTAGTATTATGCTTATTTTACAAGTGGGACTGGCATGAAATAAGCACTACCATATAATTAGCACAAAAATGAAGCCAATTGCTGTCTTGTTTCTCCAGCAATGTAACTCACACTGCATGCCTATGTTGCTAGTGAGCATCATTTTGCTTGTGCTTGTGCTTAACAAGCTCATCTCAAAAGTGTGAAGCAGGCTTAAGCATTAAAAGAAGCATCATCAATTTATTTAACATGGCCAAATTTTAATTCAAATTCTTATCAAATTTGCCTTTGTTTTTAAGGGGTTTATCTCTGCCAGACAACTGAATCCTAACACACCTATTAAAGTCATTAAAGAAGAGCTGGAGCCAACAGAGTTTAAACAATATTTTTCATCATGGGAAACCACGGTGCCCTTTGGAATGACACAGACATACCATGCTGGCCAGGGCATTGCCACTAGAGGTACAGTTTTTTTAAACTACTGTAAGATACCTAGTGTTCCTGTTGGAGTTTTTACGTTAGCTGTTATTGCTATGTCAGCTGGCTAACAGTTGGTACCATTTGTGGCAGCAGCTATGAAGAAATTAATCAGTTCCAATATGTCGTTTGTTCAGCTGTGCATCTGAACATGTCTAATTTGTTTTATTTTAATTTATGATGATAATTATGAGTTAATTGTAGTAATTTATGATTTTTGTTTGCTAATAGTATTAATTAATTTATAGAACAATTGCATATTAAGTGGTGATGAATTTAAATTAAAATTTAAACAATCTTGGCCTTGCTTTGAAGAGACAAATTATTTGTCTGGAAACAAATACACTTGAACCCCGCTATTTTGAGCTCTCGGGGAAACAAATAAAAAGTTTGAAATAGTGGGAGTTGGAAGTAATATATCAAACACGAAAGACCGTGTTTGACCACATTTCCAAACTCCAAGAAGAGAGTTGAAAATACGACGCACAGCGGAGTATTTTTGACGAACTTCGAGGTGTTTGGAAATGTGGTNAAGATCAGATATCCAAACACCGTCACGGTCATGATTTCCTTTGTTTAAACTTGATGAATTATTAATGAGTTTGAGAAATAACGGATAGTAAATGGCTGAAGGGCAAATCTAAGGGAAAAGGTTTTGAGTTCAAAATAACAGGAATTCGGAATAACCAAGTTCGAACTGGTGGGGTCCAACTCTACAGGTCTCAGGTCTTCCTAGCTGTTGTTTTTTAACATTGTTACATTTTTATGCAATTAGTCTACCATTGTATGCCTGCCAGTTAAATACAATTTAACAGAGTTTGCCAGGATTCCACATGTACTCAGACCAGAGTGGGCTAGTAACAGTCTGCCTTTAACAAGCTTTTTCTTGAACTTTAGTGTCTTTGTGGGGTCTGTTCTCTAAGGCTGGTTTTCTCTTTCCCTGCCTCTGTTTCCACTGATTTATCAGTGTGATGGTGCCTGTTTTTTTCCCTTTCATGGCTGGGTTGCCATGATGTATGTATATGTGATGGGAGTGGTCTCAATTTAATAGCAGGTCCTGGATGTCTCTCAGTCATGCAACCTCCATTTTGCAAGACAGCTGTTGACGCTTTTAATTTCTTTTCATTGACTTTAATTTTCACAGAAAAACTGGACCAAAGGCCAAAGTTTGAAGTGAAATCCATGCATGACAGAAGAAAGTCGGTGACCAGCTCCCTTCCTGATGACGGCACAGGCACGGTCCAAGTTTATAGGGTAAAAGGATTTAAGTTAGAAGAACTTCCTGAGAAATCTCATGGGGTGTTCTACTCTGGAGACTGCTACGTCATTCTGTACACTTATCTCAAGAACGGCAGGGAACGTCACATCATCTACTTCTGGCTGGTGAGCACTTTATTTAAAACCCGGGGAGGGGGGTACACCCGGAAAAATTGGGCAGGAGTGTGCTGCCCGCTTCCCAAAACCCTTACCCTACTTATGGCCAAAATCTGCGATATTCCCTATCCTATTTATGACCTGACCATAAATTCGAAACCCTATTTATGACCTGACCCGTAAATCAAAACCCTGTTTCAGACCTGCGTTACAATTAATTCCCTGGTTCAGACCAATGTTAAATTACCGTAAATATAATTTGTGAAGGGCTTTTGTTGATTTTCTTTTCGATAATGATGAAAAAGTGGCTTCTTCTTAAAAACATACCCATATCAAGGCTAGAGTGCAAAATCCATTCCCTATTTATGTCCAATATGGCTAAAATCAGCTAAAATTGATACCCTATTTATGACCAAAACGGCTGAAAGACCATATCCTTTGGGGCCGGGATTTAAAACCTTCTTGAATGTCCACATTGCCGAGCTGTTGTATGATGAAGTTGTACATTCTACATTCGGATTGTCAACAAGAATGGCGGCCTGTAATTGTACTCTGTACAAAACAGTCATGGACCATCATTACGGTCAATTGCAAATGACGGTATGTAAGAAAGGATGGCAAATTGTTTGAAATGTAGAGACCACTATAAGATATATGCTCTGTTTACAGGCCGTAAGCAAGAGTGATGGTCCTTGCCATAGTTTATAGATGGAAATGGTTATGAAACCCGACAAAGTAAAATCTTCATTGTATTGTTTCGTTTGCTCTTTTGGCCTTGACATTGTACAAAATACAATTACTGTGTACTACTGACGGAGAAAAAAAAAAGCAACAGAAATGTTTCAGTTACGTAATTCATGAATGTATGAGTGCAAAGAAAATGATTGCATGGGCAATCGCATGGACCTTCCAACATAAATCTTGGCATCTCTGGCACCATCCTTCTTTATTAACTATGCCATGCAAAGTTTACAGACGAGTCCTTTTGTTGTAAATGGCGGTCCATATAAAGCAAGTGCAATAGTATTGGACACATCTAGATAGCCATTAGGTCACGGCATCGACTGCTCTCTGCTTAGGCATAATATTTGTGACCTTTCAACCAAATTTCTTATTGAAAGAAAATGAGAAACATGATTCCATCATCAGATGTATGGGTTATTGACCAAGTGTGAGGTCAAGATGGCTGGATATTGGCCAAGTTCTTTTTTTGCGTGTTTATGGACCGAGACAGAGTCGAGGTCCATAAACACGCAGGAAAAGAACGAGGCCAATATCTAGCCATCGTGACCGAACAAGCACTTGGTCAAAAAGGATTTATTATATGGTTTTCGGGGTAATTTTCCTTGTAGGACACAACAGGTAGTCCCGAGCAGGCAAGATAACTCCATCTTGCCTGCTCAGGTAACCAATCACAGCGCAGGATTTGATTCATCTTGCCCGCTCACGGAGCTAGCCATATAATGATGTTACTTTTATGCTAGGGAAATGATAGCACAGCAGATGAACAAGGAGCAGCTGCAGCTGGTGCGATTGCCCTTGATGACCAGCATGGTGGAGAACCCTATCAGGTTAGTAGTCCTTTGGTTTATGTTTTCTCCACCTCCTCCTTGTCTGTGGTTCCTCATTTTTAGCTTCCTCCTCCTCTGCCTCCACTGCAGCCTCCGGCTTCTCTTCCCCTTTTTTCTCCTCCTTTTTTTGTGGCTTTCTCTTTGCCCATTCTGTTCCTTCTCCTCCTCCTCCTCCCCCTTCCGCCCCTCATCGTCATCTTCTTCGTCGTCATCATCGTCGTCGTTGTCGTCGTCGTCGTCATCATCATCATCATCATCACTTTTTGCATCAGTAGCAGCAACATTAATTTTTGTGTCTATCCTACCCTGTCCTCGCACTATCCTCTCTCAGCGTTCGGGCTTCTATGCGTCTTCTCTGCTTTTTCTTCACTCCCCCCGTCCTCCTTTAGATTATTTCTGGTCTCCTTTCTGTTCTTCTTCCTGTTGGTTGCCATCTTAACACCACCAACATCTCAGTCACTCTGTGAATGAAGTGTCTTTCCCGAGATCATGACACAATAACCCCAGTCAAGGTTCAGCTCTGGACCATTCGATCCAAAGTCCAGCAAATAGGTCACCACTCCTCCAAGACTGTACAGGAAGACTCGTCAGTTAAATGACTTTTTTTGCTGTTGAACTGTTTAATTTTTCAGGTTCGAGTTTGTGAAGGGAAGGAACCTGAACATTTTTTTATGATTTTCAAACGTCGGCTTATCATCTATCAGGTAAGCATTACAGTTTCTCGTGGAAAAAAATTGCGTTCAAGGGAGAAATGTTTTCCAGCAAAAGTTAGGGTTAGAATACAAATGCGATTTTCTCCTTTAACTTTAGGACTGATGATGTAATTTGACTCTGAGGTAAAGCATGTGTGACAAAATTTTTGTTAAAGTTTTTTTTTTTTATGGGCTATAACCTAAATAAGTAAAGAATGCCAGAAATGGAAAGTGCATATCGAAAATAGCAAAATGGCTAAGTTTGAGGCCCCTGGCATTAAAGAGTAAGTTCTTTCGACAGTTCGGAAAATTTAGAGGATATCTATGGAAGACATTGAAAATGTTGCTGGAGATGAAAGTCTTGCTCTCCAACATCTTTTTCCATACAAATCTTAATTTTTGAAAAATTCAAACTGTCATAAAATCTCATTCTTTAATGACAGGTGCTTCAAACTTAGTCATTTTGATATTTTCAACATGCTTTTCCCATTTCTGGTATTCTATACGTTACAGCCAATAATTTTATGAAAAGTAGGTCACATGATGGCCCAGCTGCAAAGGGCCTATTGTTAAAGGAGCTCAGTCACGGTATTTTGAGTTATTTTGGCCACATACAAAATTACCTTTAAATGGTAGGAAACCTGAAAATAACAGTTTAACAAGATAGAAAAATACCAAAGAGATAATGATAAACCATAAAGGAACAAGGATGGTTAAGGATGGAGACGATTAACACGGATTACAAACGACGAAATTGAAAAATTGAGGCTAAACTTTTCAATATGCGCAAACTGTGACTGAGCTCCTTTAACGTTGTCTACTGTCTGTTTGTAGGGTGGACATGCTAGTGGCTTCAAGAATGTGAAAAATGAGGAAACTGGCAGAGACACCCGTATGCTTCAGGTTCGAGTCACAGGAAACAATGCTAGGATTGTTGAGGTAAAGCACTGACGGATATAAATAAATCCATCTACTGTCAGCCACTTTTTAACTCTTGGTCACTGAACTTTGGACTGCAGAATACCCGGCCACTCCAAAACACTTCAGTTGAAACAGTGGCCAGCCGCGTAGCCGCGTAGTCACGTGGCTGCGTAGCCCCGTAGCCACGTAGTCGCGTAGTCGCGTAGCTACGTAGCAACGTAGCAATGTAATGTGACTATTTCTTGTTCTAAAAACGCGAAAAAAAGATAAGACTGTGCACAAACTGCTTAGCGGCGTATCCAAGTTTTTAAGGGTACAACTTCGAGTGCCCAGGTATTCTGCATTACTCCGTAAGAGATAGGGTGTTCGAATTCTACTAATAACTGTTTTAAATCTCTTTGGACAGGTTCTCCCAGTAGCCCAATCTCTGAACAGCAGTGATGTGTTTTTGATACATAGTTCTAGTATTTGCTATCTGTGGGTTGGTAAAGGCAGTATTGGTGATGAGAGGGAGGTCGCTAGAGAAGCTGCAAGGCTTATCTGGCACTCTGACGATCCAGAACGAGCTATGGAAGGCGATGAGAGAAATGGTTAGTCCTAATCCTTGAAATCCTTCAAAAGCTCTAGAGAACAGTTCAATTTTAAATTTCAAGGACGCTTGAAAAGCCCTTGGAAAGAAGAATTTCTGTAGAACGTGCTTGGAAATAATGAAAACTCCTTGGAATTTTGCTGGGAAAGGAAATAACGTATCCCGATTTTTCGAACCTCCGGAGAATTTGTTCAAAAAATCAAATAGTTCGAGAGATCGGGGCGAAAATTACAGTGTTCGACTGAGGAGAGGGAGGTTATCGAGAGGCTCGAAAAATGAGGGTTCGAGAAGTCGGGATTCCACTGTAATTCAAGACTGAGCGCAGATTTCAAAATCATGGACAGATTTTGTGATTTCAAATGTGCATGTCAGCCGACTCAAGACAGTAAAAAGTAAGTCTGTATACGAGTCAAGTGGCCCACCAGGCCGAAGCTTATCCCCGTTTTTGTAACATGAAGCGACTAGGAGTATTTCTAAAACAGTGTTAGACCATATTTCCAAACACATCATCAGTTCAACTCTCTTCTCGGTGAATAGAAATGTGGTCAAACACGGTCTTTCGTGTTTGATGTATTACTTGAATTACTCCTTGAATCTTATTTCCCAAACTAGCAAAGACTATGGATAAAATCTGGACGTTGCTTGGCGGAAAAGGCGACTACTCCTCAACTAAGAAGAACTGGGTACGTATTGTGCAATTCCTTGGTTTAATCCTTTTGTTGAATGTGGTTTATTAAAATTTGTACCGTAACATCCTGATCCAGGCTCTTGGTGAGTGTGGACGATCGAAAAAGCCGGCGGGTGTCGAGCAGGGTCTGGGTTCTCCTTTTCTCTCTCAGACCCCGCTCGTCGTCCGCCGGCTTTTTTGATCGTCTCCACTCCCCGAGAGCCTGAAACAAGCCATACTGTAAAAGTGGCTGAGTATCACGTGACTGATGAGTACCAGTTCGTGCCATGCGCAAAGCATTCTTAACTGCCTGGTTTTGAAGTCCGCTCAGTAACTTGTCCTCCTCAAAGATAAGATTCCTTGTGGAGAAATAACTGCAGTCAACGATGATATGTGAAGCCGATTTTGATCCAAACGGGCAAGACTCCGCACACGAATAATCTCACTTAGAGTTTTATCTCTTTTTGATGTTAAATATTTCATTATTTGATCATGCCACACTTTCTCCTTGTCGTTCATTACTATTTCTTACAGTTTGTAATGTTCATGTACAGTCGGACCAAATGAGTTATAGAAATCTCACAGTTAATGCTTATAATGCTTGTCTGATCATAACTGTTTTTCAGGGAGAGGGAGACAACCAGACTTACCCCGCCAGACTTTTTCACTGTTCCAACGCGTCAGGCAGGTTCAGAGTGGAGGAAGTTCTTGACTTTTCACAGGAGGATCTCGAGGAAGACGATGTTATGATCCTTGACGCCTGGAAAGAGTTGTTTGTGTGGGTTGGAGAGTCTGCACGTAAAGAAGAGAAGCACGAGGCGATTAGGACTGCTTTGGTAATGTTGTTGTTGATTTCAAAGGAGCTACCTGGCTCACGGCTTGCGCATCTTGTAAAGTTTAGCCTAAATTTTTCAAGTTCGTTGTTTGTAATCGGTGTAAATCTTCTCCATCCTTGACCAGCCTTGTTTCGTTTTGCTTTGTTATTATCTCTTTGGTGTTTTTCTATCTTAGTAAAGTACTATTTTCAGGTTTCCTTCAATTTAAAGGTAATTTTGCATGTGTCCAAAATAACTCAAGCGCGAAGGTCAGGAAATACCGAACATTGAGTGGCGGACATGAAGAATTCCATTTTCTTCATTTTCTTGCTAATAATTAGGTTACTTAAATATTAGTTACAAAAGAAACTTAGTACAGTTTATTCCCGTCAGAATACCTTTTATTTCNTGTTTGGGAAAGGAGCCCGCGCTTCTAAGGCCAAACTCGAGAGAGCGGCGGAAATCGAACCTAGTATGGCCAAGTCACAGAGTGGCTCAATCAGGGAGATTCATAACATCAGAATTTTCTCTACTTAGTAGTTGGTGAAATTTTTGGCTCTTTGGGTAAGACATTCAAGGAGAAATTGAATATCTTATCTTTCAAAAACTGCAAAATGTCTGAGTGGCAAGAGCGTTAATGAACTGATACTCTTTACAAAATGTTGAGTTTTCAAACTCGCTCGTACAAAAAGTGTTCAATATATCGAACTCAAATTCCTTGGGACAGTTTATCGTGCTATGGTCTTTCAATATTCAGAGCTGTTATGTTTAGTTTTTTTTTGTAGCTCGATCACTGAGAAACTGAAGCCCCGTCCACACTGCTCTGGAGAAATTTGAAAACGCAGCTTTATTTCAACGGTTAGGGCTTCCGTCCACAATAACCCGTCACGAAAACGGAGCTTTTGAAAACGCTCTTCGAACCAGAGGAATATGAAAACGTCGGCTTTGCGTTTTTATTTGGACAGAAAACATTTTGAAAACGGAGCTTTTCGAAAACGATGACATCACGATAGTATTGCAATTTCCCTGCCCGAGTTTTACTCAAACACATAACCAAAATGACCGGTGATTGTTGCGTCTTTATATTCCTCCGACGCAGTGTGGACGGAAAACATTTGATGCGTTCTCAGAGTGAAACCTTCGTTTTCAAATTCCTCCGGCGTAGTGTAGAAAGAGCCTGAATCGCTTGTTCTAAAGAGGCAAATACTTTAAACAAAGATTCCCCTCTACAAATCCCTGAGCGCAGAGCATAGAGCTTTCGTGGTTTACCGTAGAATTTATTTTACAGACCGAGTGGGAGGAGAAACTCAAACCAAAGAGCTTTCCTTTGGAAGTGCTGACAAGGAAAGGAGAAGACTTACCCGAAGAGGTGGACCCTACAAAGAAAGAGGTGCGATCGACTCTCAAGTTCTCAATACCGACTGCCATACATTGCGATTATGCTTGTTCTGAGAATTTCTCTATTCACATCACTTACATACTTACAGTTTATTTACCAGATTATACAAAGTAAAAATTTACATTTCACTAGTAATATAAAATAAAATACGGAATAACGGAATAACGCACGCGACGATGCAATACAATACAAGGGAGTTTCTTATTATATATTATTATATTAATGAAATTGATATAAACGTCTGTTTAGAAAAATAGTTTTGAACAATAGGCAGCAGTTCTTTCCACGTTTCGTTATGAAATTCTAACTTTGTAATTTTGTTTGGCTATAGAAAGCTCTAATTTGCAAGTTTTTATTCTGACTTTCAATAATAAAAGGGATGGTTTTATTTTGAGACCTTGGTATTGGGAGATCGATAAGACAATCTTCCTCTATCACTTATTTATTTGACAATCTACATTCTAGGGAGAAATTAGATTTCGTTCGTTGCTGGAAACTGATGCATCACCAACTTCTCTCAACTAGTAGAACGATAGGAAATGTAGGCAGGGTAGTGAGGAGTTGTATTTTGACATTTGCTTCACATAACTTCGCTTTTTTGGTGGTATTGTGTTATAACAATGTGTTCTTGTTCTTGTTTTGTTTTGTTTTGTTTTTTTTTGCTCAGGGTCCTTGCTGATCCATTTGTGATGATATAATATGTCAAATTATTCTCGCATTTTGATTGATTCTTACCTATGATCTACTGGAGGACAGACGCATAGATGACGTCACTGACATTCTTTTTTGTTTCCTTTGATATATAGAACAATTGGATTGTGTTGACGTGCGTCTGTTCAGTAACAGATCACAAAGACGTCAAAATGTGGTAAGAACATCAGTGACCCACTCGGCTATCGCCTCGTGGGTCACTTTTTTGTTCTTACCACATTTTAACGTCATCTATGATCTATTACTGAACAGACGCACGGCAACAGGGAATTCGTTAATCTGATATCANTTTTTGCTCAGGGTCCTTGCTGATCCATTTGTGATAATATAATATGTCAAATTATTCTCGCATTTTGATTGATTCTTACCTATGATCTACTGGAGGACAGACGCATAGATGACGTCATTAATAGTCTTTTTTGTTTCCTTTGATATATAGAACAATTGGATTCTGTGTTGACGTGCGTCTGTTCAGTAACAGATCACAAAGACGTCAAAATGTGATAAGAACATCTGCGATACACTCGGCTATCGCCTCGTGTGTCACTTTTCTGTTCTTACCACATTTTAACGTCGTCTATGATCTATTACTGAACAGAAGCACGGCAACAGGGAATTCGTTAATCTGATACCATTTCTACCACACGTGAATCACTCTTTGTTGTTTCTTGTTTTAGTTACATCTTGAGGACGCTGAATTTGAACGTCTCTTCAAAATGTCTAAGAAACAATGGGAAACTTATCCGCAATGGAAGAAAAACCAAGAGAAGAAAAAACTTGACTTGTTCTAGACAAAGGACGCCCTGTCATTAATTTAACTAATATAATGCATTTTTCTCATCTTTAGTCCATCCATTTGTTAGGGGAGGGGGAGGTAACGATGACGTAATTGATCCATTACCGTAAACTGCTGCTTCCAAGCCCTGGACTTATGCAACTTTCTTAAAGTTTTTAGATGGGCTTATAAACGGAGGGGCTTATAACCGGAATTAAGAAAACTGTTTCGAATCGAGCGATGGCTGCACATGTTGGTCAAGGTAGTTTTACATTGACGGGTAATTAAGCCTCAAAACGTCATAATAAAACGAATTGAAAACAAAGAAAGCTATTGGGGGCTTATAAGCGGTAGTTAACGGTATTGTAATAGCTTTTTAACACTGGCTAGTCTTTGAAGGCGCTAGCAATAAGTTATAACAATGACACGGTATATTAAACTACTAGGTAGAGCTATTCTAAAAAGAATGTAGAAGTTTTTCGCAGACTACCTCAATATATATTGGGTGGCAAAATTTTTTGGCTAAACACTTTGCATAATTGGCAAGAACATATTTTTAAGTGTTTTAACTAAATTAATGAACCAAAGCAGTAATATTTTGCTAGGCATTTCAATTTGAATTTCAATGTAATGGTATCACAGTGCACACTAGGTCCCGGATTTAAAATATTTAAGTGTGTGTGACCGTTCGCGGTAGTATTTGGGTTGTCACGTACCGCTGCTTCCCAATGAATTGCGTGACAACTCAAGGCGGCTTTAGCGCTTTTAATGCGACTGATGGGACAAGTTCTGTTTTCGCTAAAAGATTCGAGTCAGCGGTCGATTTATGGGCTTATGCCCAGTTTGATTGAACGGTTTACCCTGCGCTTAAATTTGTTCGTTGTGTAGCTCGACAGTACTCGCGAAGAATCGGAAAGTGTTTCAACGAAGATTCAACGAAGATTTGCCGAAGACGGAGCTTGTTCCCTCAGCTGCAACAGTGTTGGACGAAAGTCGCAATGAATTTAATATTGTACACAAATAGGCTTTAGTATTTATATATGTCTTATTACGTGTGTGTAGAGAATCATTTACTTAGGTTAGGCAGCAAACAAGTTATTTCATTAGGCAATAGCTGTATCCCTACCCCAGTCTCCCCCTCGTCTTCATAGCTTCACGGTAGGGGGTTATGACGAATGGCTGAAGGTTAAGACCCGGATGTTGCCGGTCACTGCATCACCGTTGTGGTGGGAAAATTGCAATATTCTTAGATGTTTTTCTAACAATTAAAAGATTCTGAAAAGAGAGCATTGTCTCAAATACGTTTTAACTAGTGTAGCTATGGTCGTGCTCTATTGGGATCAACAGTTTCTGGTTGTGTTGGTTGGGATTTTTCGTGTTCTATTGGGAAGAAAACCGATTTCGGTTGGTTTAGTAGGCCCTTTCCTGCAATATGTGAGCCCGCGTTCCTTGCCCCGAACCACCTGGTGGGAGGAGGCTAAACACCCGCGCTCCCAAAACGGCTGGAAATCGAGCCTATTGGTTTAGTTGATCAACTTTTCCAACCGGCCTCAAACCAGGTTAAAACGGTTGAAAAAGCATTTGCGTGACTATGTCTTGTGATTGTAGCTCGCGTAAGGACAATTCCCGGGAGTTACTGCGTTTCAACGGAAAACGATTGGAAAAGTATAATAACCCGGGTAATTTTAGAAATTCTCGAGCTCTCATTGGTCGAGAATGGCGTCATATTCCGCTTTATTATATGGAGAAGAGTGTTTTACTGGGAACTAAACCACTCGTAGATTCCATACGCCACTTCATCCGGGACCCGAGTGGCGTATTTTCCGT